CCCGGCCGCCCCGCGCCTCGGCTCCCGCCCCACACGGGGCCCGGCCGGTCCTTCCAGCGGAGGCATCGCCGTCCCTCGAGGCCTCCGCGAACGACCCCGGGGACCCTCCACGCCCCCGCCGTCCCTCACCTTTCGCTTCTTAGAGATCTGCACCGCCATCTTGAGCCGCGCCGCCCGGGAGGGAAAAGAAAGCACTTCCGCCGCCGCGGAGGATTATAGGGCAAAGATGCCGCTCGGTATTGGCTGGCCGCTGCCACGTGGGCGAGGGGAGCCAGGAGGCATGACGGGAAATGGAGTTGGCGGCTCTTCCAAGTACGCGGTGACGAGCGGAGGGAAACGTCCTGCCCTTTTCGGGGTTCCTATTGGTCCCGGGGGTCACAAGGTGGTGTGCAAGTGGATCCTGGGAAATGTAGTCTTTCCCAGCCTGAAACGCTGTGGCTTGGGCCTACCGAACAAACATCATCATGAAGAAATACAACCAAGTTAAAATTAGGCAGAGAAGATTCTGTAATAACAGAGACTGGAAACGTTACCTTCTGGATTATCATTTCCACAGGCTGTGCTTTGTTGGGGACACTGGGAGCTGTAGTCCAAAAACTAACCTTTAATTATTATTTCCGCAGGCTGTGCTTTGTTGGGGACATTGGGAGTTGTAGTCTAAAAACTAACCTTTCCTAAAATATTAATTATTTGAGTTTCAACATTCTTTGAAAATTGCTTCGAGATTTTTTTTTAAATTGTAAAGTGGCGTAACAATGTATTAAATAAACAAATGAATAAAATTAGCAGCGCTGGAAGCCCGTCAGCCTCCAAATACTTTATCTCCCATTCAGTTTTCTTCAAAACCTATGATTTTAATAAACTTCTGCTTCAAATGATATTTTACCGTCTCATTGGAAGCAGAAGGCTATCATTTTACCATATCCTATCCCGACTACGTTGGCTCAAAATACCATTTTTTGGGGGAGGACTAGTTCTCCCAGAATCCCCTAGCTGGGTGTTGCAAATCAAGAAGTAACTTTTTCCAAGCACCTGGACAGAATATCGATCATGTCTGGTGATTGGTCTCATCCACAGAAAATAAAGGGCAAAGCTGGCATATCAAACGGTTCTCCTGAATTCCAAAGTCCAAAGCATTTTTATGGATGAGGGAATAAACATGCAAAGTAGTCCAAGAGAGGGTGTCGGCCAGTTTCAAAGTAACTTTAATAGGACCCTTGCTGTAGTAATAAGTTACTACAGTTACCGTGTCCAGAGTTCGGATCCTGAGTGGATGGTGATAAAGCAGGCAGGTGCTTACTGTGCTACCCTCGCAATCTTGCTGCCTGAGCCAAGGGGCTGCCCAGGTTTTGCAAGGCTTGGCAGAAGCGCTTCTCTGCCCTGCCAGCCTCAAATCAACCTCAGGCTGGGATATGCGACAGGGTCTCCTGGGTGGCAGCTCCCAGCCTGTGGAACTCCCTGCTAAGGGATGCTAGGCTGGCGTCCTTTCCTGCCATCTTAATTAAATAAACTTCCAATTCACATAGCAGAGCCTCGTGGCGCAGTGGTTAAAACGCTGTACTGCAGCTAAAACTGTGCTCACGACCTGGGGTTCAAATCCCAGGTAGCCGGCTCAAGGTTGACTCAGCCTTCCATCCTAATAAACTTCCAATTCACAAGCAGGTTTTAGCCAACTGACTGGGTGCAAAGAAATGAGGTACCTTGACTTTCTAAATTGCTTTTATTGGGTTCTGTTTTAGCAAATCAAAAAGATTTCTAAATTGAGGCGTGTTTTTTAATGTTGGTGCAAAGAAAGCGTCTTTAAGATGAGGTACCTGACTTTCTAAATTGCTTTCATTTGGTTCTGTTTTAGCAAACCAAAAAGATTTCTAAATTGAGGCGTGTTTTTTAATGTTTAGAAGCATGCACATGTAGGCTTTACATCTTTCAGGTAATACGGTGATGACCTGTCTTGACTCCAGGATATGGGAAAGTGGAATAAAAATATCTTAAAGCGGGGGGGAACCACTTTTATTTGACATAAATTTTCATAGATTCTAGCCCCCTTCTTCAGATGCATAAAATATACTTTAAAAAACAAACAAACTACCAAAGGGTCCATGTGATCCATTCATGGAAATACAGTTTGAGGTTGAGCAGTACCTTTGATGCCTGGTTCCCAACCATGGGTCCCCAGATGTTCCTGGACTACAACCCCCAGAAATCCTTGCCAGCGCAGCTGGCGATGAAGGCTTCTGGGAGTTGTAGTCCAAGAACATCTGGGGAGCCAAGGTTGGGAACCGCTGTTTAAATGAATCATTAAAATGTTACAAATAGAGAGGGTGCAGATTTGTGCTTTTAAACTACAACGGGCCAGATTCCCCAAGAAGGTAAGCTACCTGAGGAATTCTGGGAGTTGTAGTCCAAAAAGCTAAGCTACCTGAGGAATTCTGGGAGTTGAAGTCCAAAAAGCTAAGCTACCTGAGGAATTCTGGGAGTTGAAGTCCAAAAAGCTAAGCTACGTGAGTAATGCTGGGAATTGCAGTCCAGCAAGCTAAATTAATTGAGGAATCCTGGGAGTTGCAGTCCAAAAAAATCTACCTACCTCTAGTTTGTATATTTCTACTCTCTAGGAGTTACTTCTTCATTTCCCTGAGATCATAATCCACATTGGCTTTTATTATGTGGTAGTCAAAACCCTGACTAGGACTACCTTGAGTTATCAGATGACCTGCCGGAGAGCTCCGTGGGTTAGCTATCTGGCTGTGGAACCAGAGGTTGGGAATTCGAATCCTCACTGTTCTGCCCTGACAGCGGTTGGGCTTGATGATTTATAGGATTGTTGTTGTGCATTCTCTGGGCTGTTTGGCCGTATTCTTGAGAGTTTTTCTTCCTGACATTTCACCAGTCTCTCTTCTGCCCTGACACCGGTTGGGCTTGATGATTTATAGGACTGTTGTGCGTTTTCTGGGCTGTTTGGCCGTGTTCTTGAGAGTTTTTCTTCCTGACGTTTCGCCAGTCTCTGTGGCTGGCATCTTCAGAGAACAGGAGTCAGAACTCCGTCTATGCTCTGATGCAGTTTGTTTGGCTAGTTGAGTACTGTATTTATAGCTGTTGGATCAGCTTTTTGTCCTTTTCAGGTCTTGAGTTATCCAGAACCGTTTATCAGATGACCTGCTGGAGAGCTCCGTGGGTTAGATATCTGGCTGTGGAACCAGAGGTTGGGAATTCGAATCCTCACTGTTCTGCCCTGACAGCGGTTGGGCTTGATGATTTATAGGATTGTTGTTGTGCATTCTCTGGGCTGTTTGGCCGTATTCTTGAGAGTTTTTCTTCCTGACATTTCACCAGTCTCTGTGGCCAGCACCTTCAGAGGACAGGAGTCAGAACTCTGTCTGTGCTCTGGTGCAGTTTGTTTGGCTAGTTGAGTATTTATAGCTGTTGGATCAGCTTTTTGTCCTTTTCAGGAGATTGGGTGATAATGGTGATCAGCATTTTTTTGTTGTGGGTGTATTGTTGTGATAAGGGGGAGAGATTATCTGCCACTGTGATTCATGGGTGTCGTTAGCTGGTCTTTTGTGTGCCGTGATCACCCGTCTATAGGATCCCTTCCAGTTCTGCAGTTGTAAGATTCTAAGATTATTATAAAGGTGGTATAAAATGGGGGTGGGTGGGTTTGAAGGCGAATATTTTTAAAAATTGGACTGGATATCCTGCCCATAGCAGACGGAGATGGTACTCTCTTAAAAGCAAACTGAAATTTAGAATCCACTTTGGGGGCGGGGGGCGGGAACGGGATGAAGGGCATGGTGGCCATTTCTTCCCCACCCACGCAAAAAGCTGTCTTTCCCCCTCCAGCAGAGATCTGCCTGAAGCCTTTGAACCTCTTTCAGGGTTGCAACACAAAAGCATGATAGAAAATTATAGTTCCCACATCAGAAAAGTAGATAATAAATCTTGGTATCTTGCTGGGTTCAAGAGTCCATCACAGCCAAACCGGCGCTCGGACCTAGTGGTTAGAGGCGATGGAATCCTCACTGAGGTTTTAACCACTTGGGGAAAAAATTATTTTCATGGCAGCCGAATTTTCCTCGGATGGTCCATCATGGCATTTTCAGAAGCAAGTGTGAAAAAGGAAAAAAGAGAAAGGAATGGAGACCATGTGATCCGTTCGTAGAAAACTGATTTTAAAGGAATGGCCCACTGGCCCTGCCCTAGGGAGCCAGAGGCTTGAGTTCGAGTTTTGCAAGAACAGGCAGTCTGGGTGGCCTTGGGCAAGCAGCCCAGAAGAAGGGAACAAGAAACCACTTCTGAGTATTGTCTCTACTGGGACAACCCAGCAAAAGAACAATTAACTTGACGGCACGCAATTAATATTACAGTCTTTACTACCTTTTTTGCACTTTTTAATTTCTTCAAAACAAAAACAAATACAAAAGTACAAAATACTTACTATACAATCTAAACCAACGTGCACCCCTATACCCACAATATTTTTATTGCAAACTTCCTTTCCAAAATTGTATTGATCGTCGTTTAGAGGCTTTCGCCTTTCCTTTCACTAATACAAATTCAACAAATCTACCCCAAATAGCATAAAAAAATCTCAACTTATTTTCCCTCTTTTTCATCTTAAGTTCAGGCATCAATTTATCATTTAATGCAGTGTCCCATGCTGCATTATGCCAGTCTTCTAATTTGATGTCACTTTTGTCTTTCCAAAATCTAGCTATTAATATTCTAGCACTTGTCATAAAATGACAGTATTTGGTCCTGCCCACCTCAAACTGTTCTTTTTTTAAAAAAAACTGTCATTTCTGTAAACAGCCACACGAGGGCATAGGTTTCTTCTTTTCTCTATTTTAGGCGAATGGGATGAAGGATCATGTTGGTGGAAGCCTTGGGTTCCTCAGAAGATGACGGCACACGAAGGTCCTCTCAGAAAGGATGTATAATGATGGAGATGCGTCCTTGGAAAACATAGGAACCGTACCCACCCAGGGCTCTTTGTTTTTAAATTGCATACAGAAAACGGGCACAGCAGGAACAAAACTATCTGCTTGTTGGAGGAAAGCAACTCGTTTAGCAAATGGTCTGCGCTGAGGGATGCCATGGGCAGATTGTTGCAATCTCATGTGCAGATTTACTACTAGCCTCTTCCTTTCCGCTTCTCCTCCAAAGTCTTGGCTTCTTCTTGCTCCTCTGTTTTGGTTAAAGACATAGCTGCTTGCAGAGAAGCCACCGTGACTAGCTTCTCT